GTTTCTGAGGCAGTATAACTATATCACTACCAAAGTAGATTGCCCAACCTTCCTTCAGAGGAGTGGCTGATGGGTTTGAACTGCCAGCCTTCTGGTTAGCAGTCAAGTGCCTTAGGCACTACGCTACCAGAGCTTCCTGGTTTAATATATAGTAAACAATAAGAAACACAACAATAAATATTTCATATAGATTCAGACTGGTAACAAACAAAAGTTCATCTAGTTTTGATTAAGTACCTTTTGCTCCTGAGGGAACGACAAAAATAGTGATAATAGTCAACAAACAAAACAAGACCTGTCTGACTGAATGCTAATAATAGTGACTTTACTTCATATAGGGGGCTTCCAGATCAGTATAGAAAAATCTACTGCATATTCAAACCAGTGCTATGTATTTAGCAGCTCTCAAGTGGCAATAAGCAGACATCAGCTATCTAGTTTCTAGCCCAGAAAAACTCATAAAAGGCCGCTGGACACAGACACCATGGGGACATCATGCAGACAGTTCATAAAAATAACTTGACCAACATTTTTGAAACCTGATGCAAGCTGTACTTGTGACTGTTTCCTTTGCTCTATCCAGCAACTGAAAAGAGTCCAATCACCAGGGCTTTGGTAACTTGGATGCTACAGAGACACGCAGGACAACATACCAAAAAACAAAACAAAAACAAATGAAACCCAACCTACTGCCATCAAGTGGATTCCGCTCATAGTAACCCTATAGGAAGTCCAGGATGAACTGCTCCATAGCGTTTCCAAGGCTATAAATCTTTACAGGAGCAGACTGCCACAACTTTCTCCAAAAGGTTAGCAGTTGAATGCTTTACCCACTGCAATGCCAGAGCTCCTGAGTAAAACATAAACCAAAAAAACAAACCCACTGCCATTGAGTCCATTCCCACTCATAGCAAGCCCTGAGGCAGTAAATCTTTGCCAAAGTAGATTGCCCTGTTTTCCTTCTGTAGAGTGGCTGGGGGTTTTGAACCACCAACCTTCTGGTTAGCAAGCAAATGCCTTAGGCTTTGTGCCACCAGAGCTCCTTGAGTAGAACATAAAGTTGCAATTAATAACTCAATAAGTAATTACCTGGGGGGACACAGTGGTACTGTAAGGAAATTAATGTTTAGGACTCAATGAATGGGTGTTCATTTGAAGTCCAGAATGAACAAGTTGATTGAGGTACAAATATTTGACAGCACCTCCACCCTAGATCATTCCATGTTGGTTCCAAATAGGAGGAGAGCCCCAATCCTGTGTCATATGTATACACAAAACCAACAACCATTAATTCACTGTGACAACCAAAAAGAATGTATCACTCCATTCAGAAATTTTTATTGAGCACCAATTACATGGTAAGTATTTTAGAGAATTCAAATAAGACTTGTTCAGAACATATGTGTTAGTATCATGTGAGAGGTACAATTTGCTCTGCACAACTAGCTATTTGCTCTTTGGAAGTGAGAATGACCAGACTTCGGCTCACCTACTTTGGTCATGTTATCATGCTTGGTAAAGTAGAGGGCCAGCAAAAAAGGGGGAAGGCCCTCAACTAGATGGATTGACACAGTGGCTGCGATGATGGGCTCAGGTATAGCAGGGATTGTGAGGTTGGTGCAGGACTGGGCAGTGTTTCGTTTTGTTGTACGTAGGGTTGCTCTGAGTTGGCTCTCAATGGCACCTAACAGCAACAACATCAACAAATTGGAGGGTAGAGAGATCACTTCTAGCTGAGTAATCAGGGCTGTGTTAGAGAGGAGGGCACTTAGAACAAATGTAGGATTAAAAAAACACTTTTCATTAAAGTATAACAGATGCATAAATTAGTACACACAAGAGTACAGGTTCACTGGATTTTCACAAACTGAATATACCAGTTATGTAACCAGGTTCTAGGTAGAATAGTACAGTACCCCTGAACTCCCCTTGTGTCCCTTTTCAACACTCTTGGGTGGAGTAGGATTTTGTTAGCTGAATGTAGATGGGGGCATATTACTGGATGAGGGATTAGCGTGCATAAAGATGTAGAAATTGAAAATTGTGCCATATTTTTTGAGGAATGAGCTAAAGAGTTACTTGTTTGTAATATTAGCTTGTGGACCTGGTTTGGTTTATGTTGTAGAGCCTTAAATGCCAAGTAAAGGAGTTATATTTTATTCACCAGTTGCTGAAGGTCTGTGAACAAGGAAGGAATATTTTGTAAGATTTTTTTTTATAATGGTTGGTGATTTGTTGATGATTAGAGAAGTAAGAGATTGAGTTTGGGAGACTGGCTGGGAAGCTTATATGATAGTCCAGGTATGAGATCATTTTAGCTTTGCAGTGGCAGTGAGCACAGAGAGGGACTGACCATCACAGACACTATAAACAGCCAAGAAGAACTGACCGGCTGTGGATCGTGAGGAAGGAGAAGGAGTCAAAGAAACTTCCTTCCATAGAACTAATCAAGAGAAAACTTAAAAATTTTCACAGGCAGTTATTTGTTACTTTATGATAAGGGTTAACACATTCTTTACATGCTGTCTCTCACAGAAAGTTCTGAAAACTTTCTTGCAGTATAAAATATTGAGTTTCTCTAAGGAAATGCTAAAGAAAGCAACTGACCTTTCAGACGAAAAGAGCCCTCTGTTAGTTAGAAATATGGTCTGTTTGTTTTTTCAAATTTTCAAATGGGCTCATGCTAGAATAAACATTTTGCTGGGAAAAATTGACTCCAAGGAAGACTTTTTTTTTAAAAAAAAGTAATATTTTATTGAGTTTTTGGTGAAAGTTTACACTGAAAGTTAGGTTTCCATTTGACAATTTCCTTACATTTATCAATGTGTCAACATTCTCTTTAATTGTGTTCAGTTTCTTCTCTTTCCAGTACTCTAGTCCCTCTGCCCCCTTAACTTCTCCTTTTTGCTTTTGAGTAATCATTGACCTTTTGGTCTCTTACTGATTGTTTTTAAGTATAACACCGGGTAATACACTTTATCCTGTGTACTACTTGCTATTTCACTAAAAGGTGATCTCAGGAGATAATCTCAGTTCTAGGTTTAAAGAGTAAACTTCAGTTCTAGGTTTAGAGAGTATCTCAGGGCAATGGTAGAGTTCTCTGTTCTCTATTCCAATTTGTCTGCTTTTTTTTTTAAAATATGAATTTGAGTTCTGTTCCATATTTTTCTCCCATTGTATCTGGGACCAACTCTTGTGACTTGGTCAGAATAATCATGCTGGTAGCCAGGCACCATCTAGTTCTGCTCTCAGGGTAAATGAGCTGCATTTGTTTCTTTGAGCTTTTGGTGATCTTTTTTGCTGTTTTGCTCCCGATGAGTAGAGACCCATAGTTGTGTCTTAGATGGCCACACACAAGCTTTTATTTAAACTCCAGATGCTATTCACTTCACTAGGATGCAGATCATGATTTTTGTGAATTATGTGATGCCATTTGACTGAGTTGTCCTATGAAACTATGGCCCTAAGCCTCCAAGGCAGACTTTTGATGATGGCACATTAATAGCAAAATCTTGGGTGTTGCTCATCTACCTGGGAGCTCTGGTAGCATAGTGGCTAAGACACTTGCCTACTAACCAGACGACTGGCGGTTTCAAACCCACCAGCTACTCCTCGGAAGGAAGGTTGGGCAATCTACTTCCGTAGTGATACTGCCTCGGAAACCCAAGGAAGGGTCGCTGTGAGTCGGGTTTGACTCGTCGGGTTTGACTCGTCGGGTTTGACTCGTCGGGTTTGACTGGTCGGGTTTGACTCGACGGCACATAACAATAACAACAAAGCTCATCTACCTATTTCTTCATCCTTACCTTAAATAATTTTTGTTAATGCAGATTTCTGAGTAGGATGAATAAATTGATTATGTACTTATGATGTGTTTCTACAGGAATTTATTTATTTAAGAAAAAGCTATCTTTTTTTCTTTAATAACTTCTTATTTCACTTTGGCTATTTGGGGCACTTTTTCATTGATGGCTCCACTTTTTTTCCCCACTCCATTTCTTTCCCTCACTCCACGAGTAATAATTATTGGGGATCTAACATGTGCTTTAAGGGTCTCTGGTAGCTTTGTGGTTAAAACATTGGGTTGCTAGCCAAAAGGTTGGTGGTTGGAACCCACCACTTGGCAGGAGAAAGATGAGGTGGTCTGCTTCCATAAAGATTTACAGCCTTGGAAAACCAATGGGGCAGTTCTACTCTGTCCTATAGAGTCACTATGAGTTGGAATTGACTAGGTGGTAGTGGCTTTTTTTTTTTCTTCTTAACATGGGCTTTGAATTATTAAAATGTCTTTCAAAGTCAGTTCCTAACTGCTTGTCCTTCTGTGCACCAGTATTCCTTAGGGGTTGTTGTTTATTTCAGGTTTTTTTTTTTTTTACGTGTAGGGTTGCTTCCAGGTACTGGGATTTGTGTAGTACAAGGGCAGGAGATGGAAGATAAATTGTTCTTTCTAGCAGGTTCTTGTGCAGGTAAAGAGTAACCAAGAGTCATTTCCGGAACCAGATAGAAGGAAGCGACTTTATTTGGGAAACTGCACGTGGGTAGAAAAGGAGGCGTCAGGGAAGATGAAAGTTGGTGTAGGCTAGCCAGTTTTCTCTCTAGACCCTAAGCTCCACCACCCTAGTAGGCGGCGGTTCATAGTCAGAAGACCAGCCCTCGCCGCCATTCTACGCCCCTGGATGCCCACCTCCATCGCTCCCTTAGCCAGAGTTCCAAAACTCTTTCCCCAGAAAGGAAAGGAAGGGTCTTATTAAATTTAAAAGGGAAGTCCCTCCCTCTTCCCAGATTTCGATTGGCCAATGCCGGCCCCACCTCCGCCAGGGATGCGGGCGGATTGGCTGCGGGAGGGGAGCCCCGCCGCAGGCTCAGAGTCCGCAGCCGCCCGGGATCCCTAGGTGGCAGGTGGGGTCAGTACCTCCCGCCTCCTCCTCCCGCGGTTGTGCCCCGCACACTTTAAGGTTCTCGCGCGGGGCCGGCGCGCCGCGCCGCTCCGAAGCGGGACTGCCAAGAATTGGCCATGAAGAGCCTCAAATCCCGCTTGAGGAGGCAGGACGCACCCGGTCCCGCGTCGTCCGGCGTCACCGCTGCAGCCAGCACGGTGAGTCCCGCGGCCCCTGCGCGTCCGGGCTTCCCGGCACGCCCCTCTTGCGAGCCTCCGGAGCTCTCCGTTCAGACGTTCGTGCGCCCCTTTCGCAGTCTTTCCTTCAGCTCGTCCCACTCTGTGGGCCCTGGCGTCTCCTGCGCTCCCTGTACCTCCCTCTGACGGGGGTTCTGCGTCAGCTCGGAGATCGTGGGGATCCTGTCCACCGATCGTGGGGACCCTATCCCATCTCCGCACCCGGGCTTCTCCGGGTCCCTTTCCCATGCAGCAATACCAAATTTCCAAACTTGTGAAAGAAGCACGGGTGCTTCGGGCTTAAATCTGCCCCTCCTCCTAAATCCGGAGTTATCCCTCCAAACTCGCCCCTTCCCTGGTGGTGCCCCCTCGCGGAGTTTGACCTGCTCCCCACATCTGTCCTGTCCCCGCCTGGCTCACGAGGGGTGGAGGTGGGCGCCCCTTCTTTTCCGGGGCTCCGGGGCTGCCCGAGGCACAGCTATAGTCTCGGTTCGGGACTCCGGACCTGGGGGTCCGTTCGTAGCTCTTTGCATCCGAGACTCCAGGCGTTGAGCACTGACTGCCATGCTAGGAGAACGTGGTTGGCTCGCCGCGGTCGGTGTGTTGCCAAGTTAGGATTGCGATTACTGAGTGAGGCAGATGGAAATGGAAGTACTTGTAAAGACAAAACCCTAAATGGCTGGTGAGCCTGGAGATAGTGAAATTGGGGAGGCGATTGTCCTGTTGGGACGGAGTTGTCTGTGGGGCGGCTCCATGCGGTACACCTCTTCGGTGTTGATCTGCTGCCTGACTTCAGTGTGCTTGCTAAGAAGTAAATAGGGCCTCTCATAAATTGGCAAGAGAACAGAAACCTTGACAAACAGCCTGCTTCCAGATGTTGGGATTGAGATAATTTGGAGAATCAGAAGAATGACAGAGGCGTCTAAATTCTTATATTTAAAATGAAATGCTATTTAAAGAGTCATGAAACTTATAATACTCAAACGGCCCGGTTGCTCACTTGGGGTAATTAAAATGGACCTTTGTGATTTTATACAGATTTTCTCAAGTGATTATATGCTTTTTATGAGTTAATTCGGAATTGCACCTTTTTCTCCACCTTACTATTTCTAGGATAATTTACTTAAACATAAAAGAAATTGTGGGAGGAAGGTGGCTTTTAATTCCAAACTCAAAAAAAGTGAATAGACTCAGAACACACGAAATTTCATATTGTTTAATAAGATACGAGTTTTACAACTTCATAGGAAAACAAGAGATTACTTTGTTTTACATTATTTTAAATAATTTCAATAAAACAATAATTGGTAAACTGACACTGATATTTTCAGTTACATAATTCCACTTCTTTTTAGTATAAGGTGTTTTTTCAGCTTTATAATACATGCTTTTGTATGTTTATTAGTTTTATTTTCTTGTTTTGTTTGGTTTGTGCTCAGGATTCACAATGTCACTTGGAGGTTTATAGACTTTAACTGTATTATCCTGTTTTCCCTTCCAGAACTCTGTGGAGGATTTAGTGGTTATTGGTATTACCAGCATGTCAGCTTGCATTTTATACACTTGGAACATGAAGTGCATGTCTCTGAGCTTAGATCTTTAGTACTCATTACACTGACCATTGCCTTATTTTTTTTTTAATGAAGGTATAAAAACAAAGAGAAAGTATGATATTAAAAGTGCTTATCTGCTTAGAAAAAATGATCCTCTCACTTTAAATTAAATTAAATATTGGAATACATTTTACAAGATTTTTAAGTGAAAGTCAATGAGTATGGTAGCTAATAAAACTAAGTATTGATATAATAAAATTAATGTACAGAGATACTGATTGCTGCTCTTCAGTCTAGAAACTAAAATCCCTGATGTCAGATTTGGTTACATGTGTAAGTGTTAATATGATCGAGTTTCTTAAAAATATATATATTTTTTGCTTTTAAAAATATTTTTTAAGATAATTAATTTTTGAATGGATTATATAGCACTTGGTAAATTTGAAAAACCAACCAAACTGAACTCATTTCCCTCAAGTTGTTTCCCACTCATAGTGACCCCTCCTTGGGTTTCCGAGTCACTATCATTATGGAATTAGATTGCCCAGTCTTCCGTCCGAGGAGTGGCTGGTGGGTTTGAACCACCATCCTTCTGGTTAGCAGTCAGATACCTTAGGCACTATGCCACATCCCTCTCCTGTCCCTGTCATTCAGCCACCCTGTTTCCTTCCTTAGAGCCATCAGTGTTATCAGTTGCGTTTGTGTCCCTTCAGCAAGAGCTTTAGCATGTGCAGGCAAATATGAATATAAGTATTTACCCTTCCTTTAGAAATGGTAGCATCCTATACTTGTTCTGAATATTGCCTTTTTTTTTCCTTTAGTAAATATCTGGGTGCATCCAGAGCTTTTTGCTATCGTATACAAATGCTGTGTTGAATAATCTTGTTTATGTTTTAAGTGTGCATACATCTGTGTACTTACAGAATCAATTCCTAAATGTGGAATTGCTGGGTTAAAGGATATGATCATTTGTAATTTTAAAGAATGTTACCGAATTTCCTTCCATATGTTATGTATCCAATGTATGAAGAATTATTTTTTCCATGCTTTTATTAGTAATCTGTTCATATTTTATGATCTGTGCTAGCCTGATAGGTAAAATATGGTATCTCAGGATGGTTTAAAATTTTCTCTCTTTTATTATGAGTGAAGTTGAGCATCCTCATATTTTTAAGAGCCTTTTTAATTTTTTTCCTATTTTTCTATTGGGTTGTTGATTTTGTTTCCCCTATTAATTTGTATATACTTTACATAAGGGAAAATTTCTCAATTGGCTATTTGTCTTATAACTGCCATATGGAAAGGAGTAATTTTTATATAATTGAATTTATCAACATTTTATTTTATTTTATGACTTCAAGGTTTATGTTCTACCTTGGCCTGTTGCACTCTGCAAAACTAAGCAACAAAAAAATGCCGCCAATTTGTTGTAGATTTTTTTTTCATTTAAGTCATTGTTCCACTTGGAATTTGTTCTTATATAAGGTAGTAGTATAGATCTTGTTTTCTTTTTTCTTCTCGTTCTTCCCCTTGTCAGGGAGCTCTGGTGGTGTAGTACCTAAGGCATTTGACTGCTAACCAGAAGGCTGGTGATTCCAACCCACCAGCCACTCCTCGGAAGGAAGGTTGGGCAATCTACTTCCATAGTGATACTGCCTCGGAAACCCAAGGAGGGGTCGCTGTGAGTCAGATGCAGCTCGACGGCAGTGAGTTTGGTTTGGTTTTTGGTTCTTCCCATGTCTGCCTAATTTGAACCTTAAAGCAGTCATTTAATTATCATGAATGATCACAGTTTGCTCTGTACAATTTTGATAGGAGAAAAAATTAAGAATTTGTACTCCATAACGATTTTTCTCTGTGTCCTCATTTAAGCATGTTTACCTGAAGAAGACACATTAGCAGTATACTGAAGTATGTAAATATTTTATGGTATTATAGTATGTGAAATATACACGCTTAATGATAATTCAGATTATGTGAAGAGAAAAGGTAATTTTTAAATATTCTGCATAGTACCATGAATATAAATGCCAAAGAGTTTAGAGCTCACTAAAGAAAGGTTATATCTATATACATGTAAGTAGTGTAGTTCATAATTAGGCAACTGGGTGGTACAAATGGTGAAGTGCTTTACTCTTAACCAAAAGTTCAACAGTTTGAATTCATCCAGAGGTGTCTTGGAAGACAGGCCTAATAACCTGCTTCCAGAAGGTCACAGCTCTGAAAACTCTATGGAGCAGTTCTACTCTGCACGCAGTGAGGATGTGAGGATAATGTAGGATCAGCCAATACTTCATTCTGTTGTATAAGGATCACTATGATGGGATGGCATAGTGCCTAAGGCATTTGACTGCTAACCAGAAGGCTGGCAGTTCAAACGCACCAGCCACTCCTCGAAAGGAAGGTTAGGCAATCTACTTCTGTAGTGATACCACCTCAGAAACTCAAGGAGGGGTTGCTATGAGTCAGATCCTACTCGTTGCAGCTACTGTGTCAGTCTGTCTCATTGAGGGCCTTCCTTTTTTGCCGTCCCTCTACCAAGTATGATGTCCTTCTCCAGGAACTGGTCCCGCCTGATAACATATCCAAAGCATATGAGATGAGATCTCGCCATCCTCATTTCTAAGGAGCATTCTGGCTGTACTTCTTCCCAGCCAGATTTGTTTTGTTCTTCTTGCAGTCCATGATACATTTAATATTCTTTGCCAACACCGTAATTCAAAGTTATCAGCTCTTCTTCAGTCTTCCTTATTCACTGTCCAACTTTTGCATGTATGTGGGTGATTGAAAATACCATGGCTTGGGTCAAACGTGCCTTAGTCTGTAAGTGGTGTCTTGGCTTTTTAACACTTTGAAGAGATCTTTTGCAGCAGATTTGCCCTATGCAATGTCATTTGATTTCTTGACTGCTGCTTCCATGGGCTTTTATTATGAATACAAGTAAAATGAAATCCTTGACAACTTCAATCTTTTCTCTGTTTATCATGATTTTGCTTATTGGTTCATAATTCTAGAATTAGTAAAAAATACATTGTAGTCTGAAAATGGACTAAGTATGTATTTAGAAGTACTTCAAACAAATATTGTAAACAGATATTTAGGAAAGGAGTTCTACTTTAGCTTTAGCTGAGCATTTGCAGTAAATTCTTGATTTATAATAATTATTGTAGATTAATTACAATAATCTCCTACTTGGGAGAGTTGATGATGATTACTGTTTGTTGCCCTTTTCCTAGACTACTATTAAAATTGGCCAGTTAATTTTATAAACCAGCAATCAAATACATCATAAAGCGTCTTGCCAATTGCACCCTGAAAAAGTACTCGTCCTTCTAAAAGAATGTAGAGTTACAGTTATGGCAATTGAAAAATCTTCAAAAAACTTTTGATTCCCAGTAAAAGCAGAAGTTTGAGTTGTTTAGAATATAT